CCTGGGTACGGTCCGGTATACCGAAACGTACCCTGGTACTATCTAATATGCCGAACCGTACCTCGCCTACTCCACTAACGAGTCTAGGGAGTCACCTACGCCTACTCCCTAACCCTAACCCTAACCCTGACCCTAACCATATCAAATATAGTGACCAGGGTATGTTCCGGTATACCGGACCGTACCCAGGCTACGTTCCAGCATAGCTCTAGTACTATAGCCCGCGTTCAATTAACTGCCGCAGGCCTGCGGCAGTTAATCGAACGCGGGCTATAGTAGTTTTAGTACTATAGTAACTAGAGCTAGTTCCGGCAGTACCCTGGGGGACATACATGATACACCCTATGATGGCTATATGAGCGTTAGTAATTAAATATTGACTGCATATGTTACTGTGTTAGTGTGAGCACAGGCCCTTGGAGGCTCAAGTTTCAAGAAGAGTATAAGAGCGAAGCGAAGCGGCTCCAAGAGCCTGTGGTGTGAGAAAGTACGAACCCGTTGGGATGGCCATGTAATTTAGATAAGTTTTGCCTCATTTTCTTGGTCTTGCTGCTCGTGCACTCTCACTCTGTCACTGTGCGGTACACGCAGTGGATATGTAGACAAATAGGAACTGAGTCAACACAACACTTCACGTCCTAGATAAGGGCAATGTACGTTTGTGTCTACACTAATTATATGAGAAATATTACACAATCTTTAACGTATAAACGTTTATATAAACTAACTGTTGCTTAGAAACTAGCCATTGCGATTTTGGTGCCATCTATGGCTAAAAGGCAACACTAGATTTGACTTGGCCTATTGGAATTATTTACATTTTGCGTCTGCCTCGAAAATTTACTGTCAGTAATGCCAATGTGTAATCTATCGCATAATTGGGAAAAATTGGCCTAGAGCATGTTTCCATATCACATACTTTTTGACTACAATGTGCGGATATCTACCATCTTAGTCAGTCGAATAAGTCATTCGGCGTTGAGGCGCCATGGCTTAGTTGGTTAAAGCGCCTGTCTAGTAAACAGGAGATCCCCGGTTCGAATCCGGGTGGTGCCTGATATTTTTTTGCCGATGCAGTAAATCTCCACCCGAAAGTAATAATGAACACTACACAATTTCACACACGACTGCGCCGTATTACATTTTCTGACCATTAAAGCTCACTTGCAGTATATAGACAATACTGCACGTAAGGCGTGTTGCAAAATTGCTTGACCTGGAATGGCAGGCACTGAGACATGACAGATGACTCCTGATGAGATGGTAGGCACAGAGGGCTAAGCATGACACAGAAAGCACAGGGGTCTCTGAGTGGCAGGGAAAGTCACAAAGGAAAACTATACAGCCTGGGCAAAGCAAATATACGATCATGATATATATTTTTTCATAAGGGAACCGTCACCAAAATCTTAAATTTTTAATCTTTTTTAATCTTAATTTTTTAATTTTGCTTTTTTAATTTTTAATCTTAAATTTTAGCTCAATTATAATTATGTGTATACCATGGTCTGAGGAATACTTACACATATCTGAAATTCTATACAATGGATGAGCGTCATGACTATACAACTATCAATAGGCTATAAATAAATAAACCAATATATATTTTGTGTGCGTGTATACATATATTTATTTCATTTATTTATTCTGTCATATCAGGAGGGTATATATGTCAAGTGCAATCATGTTTCCTATGTATAGAGTTGACATACTCACTGATATCAGCACAGCTAGATGACATCACAATTTATGTCCAGTTGTCATTCTGTCATTCTGCCAGTCGCTCGTAGCCATAGAATATGCAATCCGCCTGCTCACAAATTGGTATCACATGTGTTGGGCTGTAACAGTGGTATATATATATATATATATATATATATATATATATATATATATATATATATATATATATATATATATATATATATATCTATATATATATATATATATGGCATCACATGTATAGTGCTATATACAACACCATGCACTTCTATAATACACTCAGACTCCACAGCATTGTTGAAGATATGCTTCATGTCAATCCAACATTTTACTACACACAAAAATCCGTGCTATTCGTGCTCCACACACGAGTTGGATATAGTTCCATTGCTCGACTCTCCACCGGTGTTTCTCATCAAGTTCACGCTCACGACTGTTAACATCAAGTCCCTCTCCAAACTCATTTTTGATTGGCTCACAACATTTTTCCAGGTAAGCCACATTTCGGGTGTAGATGTCAGCATATGCGTAGTGTCTCTGCACACAAATTCAATCGAATATTGTTGCCATGGGGACCCCACAACAGAATGGGGCAGTAGAACTGCGTCGTTGCTGTGGCGACCCCGCACTAAAGCGGGGAAGTGGAACTCCCGTTGTCATGGCGACCTTGCAACAAGCGGAACTGCGTCATTGCCGTGACGATCCCACAACAAGACGCGGCCAGCAGAAGTGTGTTGTCGCCGTGGTTACCCCGCTACAAGATGGAGCCAGAGAAACTGTACGTGTCATTGCCATGGTAACCCCCGCTACAAGACGGGGGCAGCGGAGCTGTGACTACAGTAGATTATGGCACCAACAAAGTTGATAAGTGCTGCGATGATGAACACAGGGTACCAGCGTCCGTGCGACTGAGTCACCAGCTCTGCCGTCAGTGGTCCGCACACTATGCCTGGTATGGTTGCCTGCAAGTAAACACGTGCTGCATCAAGTGGGTAGTCAAGAACGTAGGCATGTCCCGCGCATGCCCCACCTACTGTTTTAATTAGTTCACTGTCATTTTGGCATGGGGAAAACACAAGGAACAAGTTTTAAGGAGAGCCTTTAATCGCACCATTAAGAAAACTACCACTCACATTTACCCATGATCTAATGTGATGTAATTTCCAGCAATCAGACCACACTGGTTCAGCAACTTTCCCATCTTTGATGCAAGTTGTTACCGTACATGCCTATGTCATGTATCAGAGAAGTCCCACTTGCCAACTTGTGTACTCACCAGAGTGTTAGAAATGGCGAACGTCACTCCGGAATGATGGGGAGCAACTTCAGAATGGTTGCTCAGGTGACCAGCTGAATTCGTCGCACATAGTCCCATTGAGATTGATATCAGGCTGCAAGTTTACGTATCAATCAACTGCGTTACTGTTACCAAGAATGTAATTAAAAATTTAATTAAACACAGGAATTATCATCACAATTAAAGAATGTTTTCTGTGAATCGCATATGATATTTGTCTCATAGCATGGAATAATCATGCCATATATACATCTAATCTTATCAAAGAAATTGAGAGAAGTAGTAGTATGACGTTATTGGACACAGAGTCAGTTACGAAGAATTTCTTCTTCCTAAAAATGCTTGCATCTTCTTGTTTCACATATATCCAAGTTTAACTGTTTTCCTGTTTGATTGACTGATGGATTTTTTTTTTTCCATTGCTTGTGTGTTTGATTGTTTGTTTATTTCATTGCTTGTGTGTTTGATTGTTTATTTGTTTATTCAATTGTATGATTACTTGTTTATTGGCATCTTTGATTGTTCGAATGATCATTTGTTTGTTGATCAGTTTGTTTATCTGTTTGTTGGCTTGATTGTTAGTATGTTTGTTTATCTGTTTATTTTTTTGCTAGTCATCACTCACATGACGGCTAGAGGCAGGTGCTGAACCCCGCTGAAGAACAGTATGAAGACTCCAGGTCCGACGAGACCCACGGCAGTCATGAGACGTCGCACGGAGAGCACGGTCGAGCGGTGACGAATCAGGAAGTCCGCACAGTGGCCAGCCGCTGCAACGAGCAAACAAAACATTCACCCGATAAGACAGCACATATACATAAATATACATTATATAATATGATATATATATATAATCAGGAGTAAGATAATATATCTATCTTATCCTACCTATATTATCTTACTCCTGATATAATATTAGCCATCCGTAGATAAGACAGTCACATGCGGTCAGATTAGATAACATAATATAATATAACATAATAAATATTAGCATAACATACATTATATCAGGAGTGAATAATAATAGATTATAATAATCTATAATAATAATAGATGGATAATAATCTATAGTATTATTAATCACTTCTGTTTATATTATATGACATATATAATATTAGCCAGTGCCGGCTGTAGATAAAACAGTCACGTGCAATCATATTAGATAATAACATACACGTGCAGACAGACATGTGTTAACAGACACTTCAAATGAGCGAAGGTCCATCTATGAATGGTATCTGCGGCATTTTTCTAAGTGGCAGTTGTACATTGAAACTACGGCTTTAGAATGACTAGCTGTCTGTAAAGAAAGGTTTTGGGGTTTCCGTGCACTGACCCTTAAACACAGGGTTGGATGTGACCAAGCATGTCCATGTGTGCAGTCCTGTGCATGCGTGAGTGAGTGTGTGCATATGTGCATGCATTCCTGCGCATGCATGTGTGCGTTAGTGAGTGTGTGCATTCCTGCACGTGTGTCCATACGTGCGTGTCATGTACAACGTCTCCTCACCGATGCCAACGAGAACGTTGGCTATGTAAGGCACAGCTGTGAGGCTCATGCTCTCGTTGCTCGCTCCGAGGTTTCTGGAGAGATACGTCGGCAACCAGTGCATGATGACGTAGTTTGACCAGTTCATCGCAAAGTGAGCAATGTAGATGGACCAGAGCGGCCAGCTTTTGAAGAACGCAACCCACTGCACTCCCGTCATGCTCACCTGTCAATGACGATCACAAACATGTATGTAGGCACGTGTGTGTGTGTGTGTGTGTGTGTGTGTGTGTGTGTGTGTGTGTGTGTGCGTACGTGCGTGTGTGCGTCTGCGTGTATGGTGGTGGGGGGATGTCTGTCAGGATGGCCACTTGTTATCGCGGGTTTCAGCCAGAATGTCGATGACGTACTGAGTGTATTTTTTTCATCTCGAGAATAAATAGAGACGTGATTTGGTTGACAGCTCAGCAAAATTAATGCGCATTATGAATCGAGCAAGAACTCCGCCTTGGAGATATTGATAATGACATACGCGAACGCGAGCTCTATCTCTTAATTGAGGATTAAATATGCATAGCGGAAAATATCGCGAGAGCCATAGCCGATCTGTGAGCATTGATTTCGATTTGTCGCTATCACCCTAATTCATTTTATAGGTCCCCGCGTCTTTTATGCGAACATATTTCCTTAAAATATGATCAAAGGCTGCTACACAAGTACACGATAATACGCAATGTCGTAAAAAAAATTAATTAACTCCTTTTATGCCGCTGACCCAATGACAAAGCACGAGCGAGCATGCAGTGCGGGACTGCGCTCGAATTATTATTACCTAGCCCGTTTATATTTTCCATTCAATCGGAAATTTAATGCATTGAAAACGGCAGATAGCTGTTATGTGTCCAGATAACCATTATAGTCGTTGCTGGCGGGCGCGGCGTGTAATTAGCGCGCGCGCGAAATTTTGCAAAATAATAAACTGTTAAATTAGCTCTTAATGGGGTTATAAAATGCAATTTTCGACGGGGCTAAAAACGAACGCGGTCGCGCGTTCGCTGCGGGGCGGCGGCTCGCGGGCTTTTCTCGCGAGAAAAGGAATTCGCGCAATTTCCCTCGCGAAAGCTGCGTTAATTTGCGATACACGGGTGGGGCACGCAAATAGAATGTCGGGCGCTGAGGAAAGCTACGATTGAGTGCTAACTCGCACGCAAAATGTCTCCAGCGGCGGAGGGACCGCGGAGGAACCGCAGGCGCGTCTGCCACGTAAAAATATTGTACGCGTGAACTGATTTCAGATCCGTCTCAAATGTGACAGAGAGATAGAGACCAGAGATATACGCGATTAGAGAGAGATAGAAGGATATATATAGAGCGAGGGTCTGATGATGGGAGAAGAGAGCAGCGAGAGAGAGCAGCGCGAGAGAGAGAGAGTAGAGTAGAGGCGGGCGCGGCTGCGGCCGTTTTTGCGCGATAATTGGTCTACGTAAAATTAATTCCGGGCAGGCGCGGAAGACGTAAGAACGATTTTTGCGGATGAATGCTCGCGGAATACGTTAGAGTGGGAGAAGAAATTAAGTGGTGAACGCAGTAAGAGAGCAGAGAAGAACGAGAGAGAGAGAGACGAGAAAGAGAGAGAGAGAGAGAAGAGAGAAAGAGAGAGAAAGAGAAAAAGAGAAAGAGAGAAGAGAGAGAAAGAGAGGAGAAAGAAGAGAGAGAAAAGAGAGAGAGAGAGAAAGAAAGAAGAGAGAGAGAGAGAGAGAGAAAAGAAAAGAGAGACAAGTACAAGAAGAGAGATGAAGAGAGTGAGAGAGAAAGAGAAAAGAGATGAGAAGAGAGAGAAAGAGAAGAGAGACAGAGAGAAAAGAGAGAGAGAGAGAGAGAGAGAGAGAGGGGGGCGGGTAGCATAGAGAAAGCCGCTTCGTAGTGCTTAATGGTAGTCACGTAGTATTGAAATCACCCGGAGTCAGTGTGGCGTGCAGCAACGCAGCCGCCATCCAGGCAGGCCTATACAGGCATGCACCGCGACAGCATCACGTCTGAACTATGCCTTGCGCTTCCCTGCCGTTCCTCCTCCTCCTCCTCGCTGCCTGCCTCGGCCCTCCCTCCCTGGACCGTTCTTACTCGGGGGCCCTGCCAATCAACCACGGCTGGGCAGCTCTCTCTCTCGCTGATGCAGCCCTTTTCGTCTGCGCGCGCCGATCGTCGCCATAGCTACGGACGCTGAAGGCGTGCGAATGGCCAGTCGTCTGCTACGATTAAACAATTGTGCATCTGGTTCGGGGGTCGTAGGGGGCCGCGGGGCTTGGCAGCGTCCGCAGTGTCGATTCGGTTTACCGGGTAGTGCAGTCCTTTTACGCTTATTCGAATTTATTTTGTTACATTATTGTTATTAATTGATTATTGATTAAATTATTTATTATTAGTTATTATTCATTATTGATGATGATGTATGATGATGGAGGATGATGATGATAATCTGATCCTTGCGATGCCTGCCTGCCTAGGCCTGCCTTGACTGCCTACCGCGGCTAGTATGCTTGCCCTACCTAGACTACCTGCCCCTACGCCTGCCTGGCCCTAAACCTGGCTTGGGCCGGGGCGCTACTACCCGATACGCACTGCCTACCCCGTGCCTGCTGGCCTACGCTACCTGTCGTAGCTGTCTACCCCTGAGCCTACCCTGGCTGCCTGCCTTGCTGCCGCGCCTACCTGCCTACCTGCCCTACCTTACCTGCCTCCTGCCCTACTTGCCTACCTGCCTACCTAACTGCTTGTTGCCTCCGCACGCCTTACCTAGGCTGCCGTACCTGCCCTACCTGCCATACCATGGCCTACCTGCCTACCTGCCTACCGTGCCTACCTGCCTGCCTGCCCTACTGCTACCTGCCTACGCTACCTGCCTTGCACTCCCCACCTTACACTGCCTGCCTGCCCCTAACCTGGCCTTACCCTGCCTAACCCTACCCTGCTTGCCTCCCCCACCGCTTGCGTGCCTCTACCTGCCTATCCAGCTGTAGATGCTTATCTGCGCTGTGCAAACATCACGAGTTTATAAAGCAGCGGGAAGTCTCATGCACCTTGGCCGGTCACTGTGAGTCTGTCAAGCGGCAGTGCATTGATTTCGTGTCCAGCTCACAGCCTCTCTCGCCCCTACGCTCCCCTTGCTCTGGCTCCTCTTCCTCTCTCATTCCTCTCTGCTCTCTCTCTTCTTTCTGCTCTCTCTCTCTCCTCGGACTCTCTCCCTCTCTCTGATCGTGCTGCCGTTCTCCTCTGCTCTCTCTCGTGCGCTCAGCCGCATCTCTGCTCTCTTCAAATGTCGTGCGCGCGCTCTGTCTGCTCTCTCTGTCTTGCCCCCGCCTCCTCATCTGCTTTAATCCTCATCTCGTAGCGCGCTTGCATCTCTCTCTCCAGTCTCTCTGCTCTCTCTCGTGCGGCTGCGTCTTCTCTCTCGGGGTCAGTCTCTCTGACTCTCTCTCGTGCGCATGTAGCCGTCTCCTCTCTAGCTTCCTGCGTGCGCGCTCGATCTCATCTCTCCTCTTTCTACGCTCGATCTCTTGCTTCTTCCCCTCTGCCTCTGCTGCGCGCGCGCCGCCTCATCGGGGGTGCGTCGTCTCTGCTGACTCTGCTCCCGGCGCGAGCGCTCAGGTCTCTCGTCTGCTTCTCTCTCTGCTCTGCGCTTCGGGCGTATCAATAATCTAGTTCTGTATCATAGTAGAAGGCGGATAACGGCATCTCTTGATCTCGCTTCTTCTCCAAACAGCTTCGCGAATCGCAATTACAAACCACATCATGGCGCGATGACGGCGAGCTGGCGGCCGCCCCCGCACCTTTGCGTAAAAATACGATTCTTGTTTTGAGCCAGGAGGCGGCCGGTGAGGGGGGGATTGGGCATTGTTGGCAATAATTCTTGTTACGGCGTTTCGATGGAATTTGCCGCAGTTGCGGCAATGGATGCGAATCGATGTGCATCGGGATGGCCGAATCTCGCGTGTGAATTCGCGCTGGAGTCCATATAATGTGACTATTTGGGCGTAATATTCTGTTTTTGGATACCACGGCGTCGCGTTATGTGTTCGGCTTTTTAAGCGCTTGTCTCGGTAAGAATGAAAGCGGAAGGATTAATGACGTTAGGTTTCTCTCCGCGCTGTAGCGTGTGAATCTTTGTCCGCTATCAGTATTCTACCCTTCCCCTGACTTTTATATGGCGAGCGCAGATGAAAAAGAATGGGAAGAAAAAGAGAGGAAGATAAGACCAGATGAAGAGAAAAGATATATGAAGGAAGAAATGGAAGAAGAGGAAAGAAGAAGGAGACGACGAAGCGAAGAAAGAGCAACGAATGAGATAAGAAGGTGAAGAAAAAATGATGAAGGAAATTTATACG